ATTATCATCTTCAAGAACATTTCCTCCAAATTCGATGACTTTTCAAGAAGAATTTGCAATCAAGTAGTAATTATCATCTTCAAGAACATTTCCTCCAAATTCGATGACTTTTCAAGAAGAATTTGCAATCAAGTAGTTTTTACGGATCTACATGTAGCTAAGAATAAAGGACTTCTTKAAGACTCTACGAACCCTGAAAATTTGAGTGCGCAACAATAATCGTCACAACGGTCATGGATTAAATGATTTAATCACGACTATAGGGGGGAGGGGATAGGAAATATTACAAAGTACGGCAGATACGTTTGCTTCTAAAAAGAACCTGARAGCAGTAATAAAATATATTATAAAAAGACTGCATAGCAAATATGAATTTGGCCTTCTGATAACCCGAGTCTACATAGAATAAGCAGTCTATTGAAACACAGGTATGCCTTATACTCTTTTAAAATATTTTCCTCTATTTACCGAGGGAAATGGTGTCCTCAGGAATTCTCTTCAATTCATGGCTTCGGTAATACCGAACATCTATATTATAATAAAGCTACAGCAGTACCGGAAATGACTGTTAATAGAAAGGTCTTGGGTGTCCACCACGGAATGGAAACCTTGGCCTTGGCCGATGTTCGGGGAAGTGTTCTCTATGTTCAAACCCTTTGAAAGAGTTCCGTCGAGGGCGAAAAGGGGGCCTTTCCTGATGTGGAGGAAAGGATCGATTCCCATGCTCTATAAATCTAGGTGATAAATGTTCTCTGTTGCGAAATTCGGGTCTAGTCCTATCGGGAACCGCATGACGTGGTTCCCATTGTTCTCTTTCATTCCACATTTCCCTGTTTCGTTCAAATCCAGGCGAAGGAGGATGAAAGCCTGGTCGAATGGGTCTTCCTTGATCCGAGAAAGATCTAGGTGGTCCCTCCTCTAACATTGGTCTCTTCATCGGAGGCTCTCCAGGAATTTCACCCATTTCCCCATCACTAAATGAACGGTGGAAGACACGAGGACCATCATGTTGTGGTGGGTTTCCACGTGGTCCCTCTTGAGAAAGCCATCTAGGTTTCGGTTGACCATCTATATGAGCGCGTTGAGGTGAGCCCCCGAGAGGCATTCTGTGTATATCTGGTGGACCAACCGGACGAGGAGGTGCTCCTGGATTCTCAAAATGAAAATGCGGCCGTTGTTCTTCTCTTGGAATGCCCTCAAAATGGGGTGGTCTATCGTGAGGCCCGTGGTTCTGCTCGACACCGGKAAAACCTCCTCTTGGAGATATTGGTCGTATTTGAGGTCGATTATTTAGAGGGCCATCATTCAATTCACGTTCATGTTCTATAGGCATGTTAAATTGTGCCCTTGGTGAATGTAATTGACGAGGACTTCTCTGGGGCATTCCTCTAAATTCATCTCTTGGTTCTCCTACAGATTCTGTTTCCGGTGGTATAAAAAATGTTCCTTGAGATCCCGGAAACGGCCTTGGCCCTGGAAAACGTGGACTAAGACCAGGTCCTTTTATAGGCGATGGTGGGGGAATCTGAGGTCTTTCTTGGTATTCTCTGAAAGGAGGTCTATGACTTGGAAAATGTTCCTCATTCCATGGCTGTCTAAGTGGTCCATCATGTGGGTGTCCAGCAAACGGTACTCTAGGATTCCCAAGTGCAAAATCTGCTGGGTGGAATCCTACTGGGCCTCTGTGTTCCTCTGGGGCATGTTGCTGTGGTCGCATCATGAGGTCACCTTCGTTTTCAGAATCATCGTTGTCTCCCATTGAATTGATTTCTATTTTTTGTTTGGGAGAACCTTCTTCTGATGTTGACGTCGAAGTTTCGTTATCCTTCTCTCTTTCTCTTATTGTTTTCAAAGAGTCCGTCAGCTTGGGAAATAAGGAGTCAATAAGAGAAAACAATGGCTTTTCTTGCTGGGGTTGTGTTGTTGCAGGCGGTTCTTCTTTAGGAGTTGAGGCTCCAGATGTACTTTCCATTTCTGGCGTTTGCTCTTTAAGCTGTCTTCCGCGACTAATCAGCTGCGCAAGAATGTTTACTGCGCTTACCGGTTTAGAGAGTTCACCAGCGCGGTTAGGAGAGGCCGAACCTGTGGATGGSGCACTAGCTTCCTCTGACGTTCCAGGTAATTCGCCTTGATCTGATTGTTGCCCTGACATTGCTGGAAAGCCTATTATTTTGACTTCATCTACTCTTTGGGGAGATGCAGTTTCTGGAGTTTCATCTCCTCCCAGCTCTAACTCAGGAGAACCAACTGGTGATGGAGCTGACATTTCAGAACCTGGAGATCCAATGGTCTTTCTGGGAGTGCTTTCGATGTTTGCTGCATTACTGGATGGTAGGGGTTTGCTAACTGACTGGGTGGGTGAGGTTACAGAGTTAGTACTAGTCGTCGGCGCTGGCTGCGGTAATGGAACTGCACTTGTGCTGGAGCTTGGGGTAACTGAATGGGTAGGCAATGAAGATGGATTTATCACAGGAGTCAGTGTATTATTACCAACTGCCATTTGAGAGGCAGGGACGGCATTTCCAGGTATTTGTTGAGGGAGATTCGGTACAGCGCCTGGGAATGGTGCTTGACCTGGAAGAGGCAGCCTAGTCAACTGAGGTTGACTTGGAAATGATCCAATTGCATGCATACCCATGCCATATGGTACCATAGGTTGAGGATATTGTGATGGTATGCTAATAAACTGTCCTGAACCAGGCATGCCAACTGGAATCATCGACATACCAGGTTGTCCGTGTATGAACTGCATGGGTTGTTGCATCATCATTTGTGGGTGCACAGCAGTCATCTGAACTGGCATAGAAGCCACAGATGTATTTCCTGAAAACGTTGTGGTAATGCTCGATGATGCACATGAGCTTGTGGAGGTAGCTTGTGTTGCAGTCGTAGTTGGTGTTGTTTCAACACTTGTAGCGGAAGCTGAAGTCTCTGTGGTCTTGACATCTGACAATGGAGTTGCAGTTGAATCTGTTGGGCTTTGGCTACTTTCATCGTTTTCACTATCGCCATCATCCTCAATATCCATATCAGCAACCTCAGTGTTGTCCACAGTAGGATCTACTGCCTCACTGCTTTTTTCCTCGGTGTCCACTGCAATTTCAGGCAAGCCAGACGTTAAAAACGATGCTTGGGGAGTGTGTATAGGTCCCATCTTCTTTTTCTCGGCTTCTGCATTAATGATTTTTKCAACTTTGTTATCTACTTTCTTTTTCAAAGAATTGAGTCGGTTACCAAATGTCTTGTAGGCCTGAAATGACATACAATCACAAAAAAAGGATTGTAAAAGTATTGTTTTATTRATGACAATCATTTATAGTATTATTGAAGCATAGAGCACAACTAATACTCACATGAACAATAACTTTAACTTCGCCAAATGCTGAATCATAGAACAACTTCCCATCCTCTACACACTGTATCATTTTGAGAATTTCTTCTTTTTGCATTTTTAAGGTACCACAAAAGCTTTCAAGCTTTTCTGAAGCTGCTTCATATTCTGCCGTAAATTTTGCTCCAGTTGCCCGATCTGATGAAAATAATTTTAAAAAGATGAGTACAATCATAAATAATAGGTATTAAGAGTGAAAATATGCACTACAACATATAGAATAGGCCCGCAAATCATATAAAAGAATGTATATTTAATTATCTTWAATATCAGTTAATAWCACAATAACACAGAGAGTCAGCAASTATCACCAGGTGTCAAAGSCACTTTGAATATAAACTCTAGTRAATRTTAATTTAAAAATCAACTACAACACAATGCRTAAAGGTGTGACCACTGATTGTATATTTGCATACTGTACATCTCTCTCCATCGTTCCAAAGAGCATCTTGATCCCAGATACATATAAGATAACACAATCATAGAGCACAACTGGTTTATAACACAAAAGTATGCAAATACATWTAATAACAGTGGMCACACTTTTATGTGCTGCRCTGYAAATTAAGGTGCAAACTTTAGTGCCAAGTACATGAGAAGAGTTAAATAACATCAGCTACTGAATGCTCTAAAATACAACAAAACCAATATTCAAACAAAGAATGTACATGTAATTGTACCTTTTAATTGTTTGATGGCTTCCATATCAGATGCATCGATTCTCAGTGAATTTAACTGAGATTCTTTTAATGTAACCTCTGCCTGCAAGTCTCTCATGGCTTTGAGAGAATCAATCATTTGAGATGGCTAGGGAAGAAAGACAAGTACACTAAAGTAAGCACAATAAGAAATGTTAATTTAGAGGAACATCATTTTATTGATATTGTACAATAATAGCCCATTTAATGATGATGGCAAGATGTAACAAGTTCAATCTATGAAAGTGTTTGTCATGTCTTTCGTCTGGTTTTCCTGAAACTGGGCATCTTATAGAATGCAAAGGTGTGAAACACTGCATCCTGGGATAAACTCTGCATCATCCACATCCTGAGCAAAATTTCTGCATAATAATGCGAATTTGCATAACATCTTAATTGATAAAAGGTTTTGCTCAATGTAATTTGATAGCAGATGTCCCCCCCCCCCCCCAAAGAAAATATCAACAAAAACATCCTTTCTCCTTATTTTCAAAGAGCAGTCCACAATATGACACATTTGAATATCTTTTCAATCTTTTCTTCTCACACTTTGAGATCAGCAAATAAGCATAAAGCTCTTTCCTCCTGAAGCTGTGAAGCCTCTATCCAATGATGCCAAGCTAGTATAATCATATCTCCAAATTATACGCGAGGTTATTTTTGAAATTTTTTTCCAGGTGTTTAGGGAAGTTTCCAGCAGAGATTTTTAAATAAGAATTATTTCAACCCAAAAGTTAAATTTAAAGCAACAAGTAAATTTCATCAGATTCAAGGAATATTCCAGGAGTTTTAGCCTTTTTCATATTTTCAAGGACTATTGAAAATGAGTTTTCAATTCCAGGGTTTTTTTTCAAGGATTTCTAGGAGTTATAGCATCTTACATTTTTCCAAGGGTTTTTCTAGTGCTATTGAAAGTGAGTTCCAGTACAACCAATCCACATGTCTTAAACAAATTCTTACCTTGAAGTCTGCTGGAGGTAATTTTTTCTCTTGTGTTTTTTGTGTTGAGGTTGAATGCTTGATCTCCTGTTTAGGAGTTCCATGTTCACCATCACTGTCTGTAGTATGGCYTGTTTTTAATTTGTGTAYACCATGTACYTTAGTGGGTTTCCCCTGAGATGCTTCTRTAGGAAACAAAACAAAGGGTTCACAACGTACAAATATGACATGCTTAATGGCAAGGATTCAAGTTTATTCAACATTAATAAATGATATATTTAAACTAACTTACATGTACAGACTGCAAATAGAATTAACTAATCGAGGCAGTCTGTACAGATACTAAATATACAATTTGACACTAAATATAAATAGGTACACTAAATATACAGCCTTTTGCACAAATTATGAGACATCTTTATATATATAAATATACCTAACCAAATATCAAAAACACCCAAGAAATTATGGGATACCATTGCTGATATTTTGTCTGTAACAACCTGATGCTAGGCAATCATGACAAAATATCAGCGACGGTATCCCATAATTTCTGGGGTGTTTTTGATATTTGGTTAGGTATATTTATATATATAAAAATGTCTCATAATTTGTGCAAAAGGCTGTATATAGAAACAATAAGTAAGTTAATAAATAAATTAAATAAGCAAATAAACGTCCAAGAAGTTATATAATTAAAACATCAACATAGATGAGTACATACACTACACACATACATATCAAATTGTCAATTTTTTGATTTTTGAAATTATGTCTGAAACATTCAGGTATATTGCACCTTTTAGTATTAAGACTTGTTTAAAACTATGTCTAAGTTTGCATTTGAATATTTTTTAACTAGACTGGTGAATGGTTTTATGATTGCAATCCAGATACTACTACTTGGCTGAAGTACATTTAAGATTCGTTACATGCATATACAATTATAATGGATTTTTGTTATTTTTGTTGACCAAATTAAGACCAAAATATAACGCTACAGTATTTACTCATCGGTGTTAGTATTCACCAAATTGTGACCCAACTAATGACTATTGAACTATGACCTTTGTCATGGACTGGGGTGGATCCAGGGGAGGTGCTTTGGCTATGGACGCACCCCCCCCCCCCCCCCCTTTTCTGACGACACATTTTTTTTATATATCAGTATAAATGTTTTCTTTTGATGTTTATACTCCTGTTGTACTTCTTTCGAGAAAATGAGTAGCATACACAACATGTGACTGCCACTATGATGCTTATTAAACAATGTACTTGAGTAGTGTAGTCAAAGATACTTTGCAATAAAAGTCAATTTGCTTCCAGTCAAATTGTGCACAATTTTCTTGCTGTAGGCATTATTATAAAACTTATTAATAATGCATAAGCTATTGCTCCAATAAAGGCTGACCATTTAATCAGGTGATTGACCTTGTAAATCTGATACAACCACTAGTGGTTGTATCAGATTTACAACACGGTCGTCACCATTGAGACAACCCAACACTAGCAAAGGTCTCAGTTTTAGTGTCGCATCATAGACCTTCACTAGGTTTTGAAGCAATTAAAGACGGATAACAGAACTCGCTTATGCAACAGATGGCTTGCTTTCCATGTGGGATGGATAATTATTCAAAATGTTCTGTGTTGCAGTAAATTGCGCATGCTTAATAGGGACTAAACTCAGCAGTTACCTTATTTGTCTTTTTTCGTCATTTATCTCACTGTAATTCATGTTAATTTGTGTTGGAGTTTTATAAGTCGTTTACAACATTCGCGTCCGTGTTGTATGGGAATTACAATCTCTCGCCTGCGGCTCGAGATTGTAATTCCCATACAACACGGCCGCTCATGTTGTAAACTATACATACAGAGCTAACAAAAATGATCAGTTCCATCTGCTATACTTAGTTTTTAGCTATATATTACTGGCAAAAGCCCCCCCTCCCTATAAAATGCTGGATCCACCCCAGAGGGAGGTATCTACCACACAAATACAATGTAAGCAGCATACATGTGTATACTTCCAATCTAGATTTTAAATTTTGGGCAATTACCTTTCTTATAATAATAAGCATGTTTACATTCACAAATAATAAATCTATCATTACAATAATAATCATAAGAAAGCAGCTATGTTATTAGTTGGCAGCCCTTGAGTTTAAAATAACAAACAAGGAAGAGAAAAAACATCACTTCTAAGCAGAGTTATAGATGTTACACAGAGTAAAGTGCACTTGCTAAAAGCCCATGCTATATGCCCCATACTAGACCATGATTATATCAAAAACAAGCTGAAGAAAAATATTTTCAATGCCCTTATTTCAAATTTGTCCTTCAGTTGGCAGACGCAAGTTGTACATATACTTAACCCTAGAGGATGGTAAAATTTGATATTTTTTATCGTTTGAATCAAATGAAACAAACACATACACATTATAACGCTTAAGAAATCAGTTGACTGTCCATTCTATTAGACTGTCTTCAGCCTCATGCTTTTCTCATACAAATAAGACAGAGTCATCTAATTTTGTGTGTATTGGCTTTAAGTGCTTGTGGGTCCACTTYAATTTGGAACATTTTATAAATCAAGAGTGACATTGTCAATAAGAGGACATACAACTCAAAACTGTGCTCAATTTGTTAAACCTAACTAGCCAGTGGTGTGTCCAAAAAGAACTTTGTAAGAATGATAACAGTTTAACAGTGCAATAATAAAGACAACCCACATGGAATACACTGTAAGTAAAATGACAAAAGGAAAATAACCAAATGAAAACCCAAACAACGACTGTAAATGATATTAAATATAGATTTAAGACCAAGCTGGCTCCATTTATGTCAAGAAACGTATATTTTAGATAAGCTATGTATCAGGAATATGAAGGGTAAAACGTAAACTCACCGAATTTCCGTTGCAGACTATCAAGGAACTCTTTATCAAACACTTTCCTTTCGTGCCAGATCTTCATCACTCTTTGAACAGAATCACAAATCTTTCTCTCACTGAAAGAAAGAGTAAAATTACAACATCGCAACACATTCAACGAGTCAGCAACTTGAAGGATAAGTATAAGCTTAAGCTTATTGCACGTTCAACAGTCAAGCTAATATCTGTACCTTAGCAAAGGAATGACATCTTTTAGAACTTTGCTAAACGCCGTTGAAAACTCCTTCCCTTTCTTCCTGCTGTTCTGTAGAACATCATTAGCTAAGTAAAACAGCACAAGTCGGCGATCAGGGGAACCTGTAAAAACAACATCAATGCAACTCAGACATGATGCTAAAGCYAACGTCTGAGCATGTGCTCCAAATACGACGCGATTACAACATTACATTTCTTTAAATTTTCAGTCCAGACTTTAACAATATCTCCAGCATATTTCTTGTGGTGTATGATCCATAAAGAAACTGTTTGCACGCTGTCCTGGGCAAGAGACATCTGTTGAAGTTTGCGCTCAAAGCCTTTTTCATTGAGCAGCGCCATTTTGAATCTTGCAGCCAGGTGAGTCTGGAAGCTATGGCGCGTGCTTGACAACGTATACCGCTGATCATTTTAAACGCTGGCTTCAATTCGCGTCAAGTGTCAAGTTTATTTATTTTCTTTATTTATATTTATTTATAAAAAATTATCTATTTATTTATAACAATCTATTTATTTATTTATTTATTTATTTATTTATTTATAATAATCTATTTATTTATTTATTTATTTATTTAATTGTTTATTTAATTGTTTATTTATTTATTTATTTATTTATTTATTTATTTATTTATTTATTTATTTATTTATTTATTTATTTATTTATTTATTTATTTATTTATTTATTTATTTATTTATTTATTTATTTATTTATTTATTTATTTATTTATTTATTTATTTATTTATTTATTTATTTATTTTTATAATAATTCATTGATTTATTTATTTATTGATGAATTAGAATTTATTTATTTATTTATTTATTAGGATTTATTGATTTGTTAGGATTTATTGATTTATTAGGATTTTAAAACTATCCCCACCCCCCTGAGGCAATCAACAGATTTGTTATCGAAGCGTAGAGATCGAAGCGTCTTCAAAGTTGTTCAACGAAGTTGTGGGTTTTGATCGCTAGTGTTTTACCCGTTGGAATCTTTTAATTTTACTAAAACTGATCACTAAGTACTGCTTTGAGGACCGATTTACGTATCAAAGAATTTCTGTTCAGTGAACATTTAGATATTATGTGACGAATTCGTTGTGTTCTCGAAGTCAGCTAGTGTAGGAATGTTGTAAACGTTTTATTTGATTTTAATGATGTGCGTCAATTTAACTCAAAATGAAGAAAATTAAGGGCAGACTCGTCAAACGAGCTTCTCAGGTGAGAAACCATTTACTTCAATTGTAAAAGCGTAGAATTTTGTCTTGTAGTAATTGTAAATCTTTCCTTGACGTCTTGGCAACCGATGACAATGAAGCACGCCATTTCGTGTGTTCAAACTTGTCAAACTAATATCTTAAAGTATTTTAGACAATTTAAAACTTAATTTGTAGTTTAATAGTGTAATTTAATTGTGAAAAGGTATTTTATCTGTATGTTTGCACTATTGAAGCAGTTAATATTTTATAAGAATGTCTATTCTAAACTAAAAGAACTTATCTAGATGAGGAAAGCATTCATGGAATATTTTGTGAAATTCTAAACGCTCGGGTCATGTAATGTCATTACGTAAGATTTATGTCGTGCAAATATCATGCAAGTACAAGTACATTTCCTATTTTTGTGTGTGCACGTTTCTCTATATAGTTCACATCAGAGTATTAAACGTTGTTTACAAAACGTAACTAAATTACTGTTGTTTGGGATTATTGATCTATTTAATCCAGGAGTCACCACTTATGTTGATATAACCGTAAATGTTTTAAAAGAAAAGAAAACTCATTGATGTGGAAAGGGCAGTTACTAGTAAAGATTTCAGCTACTTTTAATAAGTGTAGTTTATGGCGGGATGATTTTAACTTGAGCCTCCACAGGAAATCTTACTATGTTAGACTTTTGGTCTCAATCAAAAAATACTGACAGAGGAGGGAAGGGGTTATTCTAGAAGAAAATGTTAAGAAATACAGTGTGTTAATGATATGGAGCAATGGTTAACAGATAAMAAAGGAGTGCTTTAGTAGTATGATTACCCTGTCTATCACATGCAGTATTAAGGCTATAGGCCCTCCCATTGGCATAATTGCTTTATTTAATAAAATTTTAATTATGATTGCTTTCAGACTCAGTTGAATATTGATTCAAATGATGAATGGTCTAAATATGATGAAAGATTATTTGAATACATTCAGCAAGATAACCTTACAAAGCTCAAGTAAGAAACAGAAATTTCTTTACATATCTACATCTACATAGTTCCAGCACTTGGCATACATTCATTGGGAATACTAGCTGTATCATAATATGAGGTCTCGTTGACTAGTAATATCTTTATACAAACACTGCGCCAAGCTCAGAGTGAGATGAGCCCTCGCCACATGTTTACATCACTGGAAATATTCTGCAATGTATACACGAGTTGTGAGGGGATAGAGAGCCCAGGGTGGGAACTCCCTTATAAAAAGGGACGGGGGTCCTCGTCGGAAATTCTGAAGATGAYCCCTAAAAGGGACCTGTATTGTGAGATGATGGGTGTGGCAGTGCTGAAATTTCATCCTTAAGAGGGACCAATCAATAAACACTCAGTTATTTTGTTTTGGTTTCCAGATTTTATTTGTGCTTTTGCGACAGTCTGTTTTTGCACTAGCATCAAAAATGGATTAGGGTTKCGTATACCCTAAAAGGGATCACAAAACTCAGTTAGTGGGAATTCTGGTCATATCACCTTAAGCGGGACCAAAACACTGATTTCAAACCCCAAAAGGGACAACAAGGACCCCCACCGTTTTTTATAAGGGAGTCCCCCCATCCCAGGATAGAGAGAGTACACCCATTTAGTTCCTTAAATAAATATTCTTTTTTTAATTCATGTTACTTTAGGTCAACTCTTTTAAAAAAAGGTATATCTGTTGTCAAACTCAGCCCAATTGGAACAACAGCGTAAGTATGATATTATGTTGACATCACAGACTATATCACTTAGCATGCCCATAAGCTTGGATGGGAGGTATCCGGTCAATTCGTTCCGAAGTCAATTCGCTACCATTCATTACTACATTTCTACTACATTGCTACATTTCATAGTTATGCAATGCTATACAATAATCAAATTTTAGATAAATTTTTATAAACACCATAAATAAAGTAGGTTTAATAACTTAGTTACTGAATAAATGTTTTGGACATTAATCCTCTGACAATACCCTGGTTCCAGAGGCTTCTCTGCATGTGTCTCTCTCTTCTTCGCTGCAAATGATTAAACGTCCAAAACGTCAGTAAGTTATTTTACCTACTTTTTTAAGGTGTAAACACCGACGCAGCTTATACTAGCTTGAACTGTTATAGATCCACCATTTCTGTATTTCATATGCTATATATTATATGAAATTGTCAGATAATAATAGGGCTTTTACAAAAATTCTCATTATTTGCTGTATTTTATGAATTAAATGATTGTATTAAAATTAACTTAAAGTAAATGTTTATTATTATTATTATTATTTATTTTGTATAGAGTGCATTTTGCATGTGAAAAGCAAAATCCCCAGTGCTTGGAAGTGTTACTGAATGAGCAGCCAGACCTTTCAGTATTGGAYAAAACAGGTTAATTTTATTCAGCAAATTTGCATTTCAAACTTCTCCATACTGTTGTTTTTGCTTTAAGTTGATTGCTGAACATGCAATATCGCATTCATCTACATTTATTTCCATTACTAGGATGCCATGCATTAAGTGTTGCTGCAAAGGTGGGCTCACTGGAGTGCATGAGACAACTTCTTCAGTACAACTCTGAAATAATAACACTGCAAGACTATCATAAGAAAACAGCATTGCACTATGCAGGTAATGATTAAATGATGTCACTGTCCTTTCGTTTGTGTAAAATGTTCCTTGACATGACCCAAAAACTAGTCCATGAAAAGGTCAAATACCATTATACAGAAAGTAGTAGTAAAAAAAGACYTCTCTGTTTACAGGCTTACCAGGGTTTGCAAATTCTAGAAACATGGCAGATTTGAGATTATATAAACATATTTTGGCCATACTGTTAAGTGGCATGAGCATCACCAACCATTTATATTAAGTGCACATTGCATTAATATATCAATGATGATTGATTGACTTGACTTATTTGTTTTTGCAGCTGGCAAAGGCCACTTTGAATGTGTTCAGTTGCTCCTGGAAAACACAGATAATCTGGACATCAGAGACAAGGTATCATTAATCAACATCTTGATTTCAATGACATACAGAAGGACATTGTTTGGACATGTTATAACAGCTGTCTCTATTTCATAATAGAGCGGATTTCGTATGAGTGGGACACCGTTACCGCACGGTTACCGCACAGTTACTGGACCTGGCCTGCACAATTTTGGTGAACCAATGGGGCACTAGAATTTGGTCACAGTAAGACTACGGTCACAGTACAGTACCGTCCATTTCCTACTCATACGAAATCCACTCTAATTATAATTCTGAGTTGATAAGCTCCAGCTTATAACGAATCTGCACACTTTTATGTAATAATTGACATGTGCTCTTAGCANAAAAAAAATGGTTAGGTTGAGTTGAAACGACTCAATTCAACCGAACGAAGCATTTTCGGGTTTTCAAACATCAAAAATCTCTACATAACAAAATTCATTATCTAAATAATCCGAAATAAAGCGGTGAAACGTAAAGGTTTCATAAAATGTAATGGAAAGTTCTCAAAACTGCCGGTGGTTTGCAAGAAAAAAGCCGATAGATTTCATAGAAACTAAAGTGCTTGACATACCTCTCAAAGTATCAGGAAAAGATCTCTAGTTTCAACTAGTCCCTCATTCAAGAAAGCTTGCTTTAACTGCATATGGGCATAAATTTAAGTCTTATAAGCTTAAACTCAAGTAAAAATCCACGTAAGTTATGAACGTTTCTGCTCCATTTTTCGAGTTTTTGAAATGAGCAAGAGTCTTCAATAAGATATTTGCCTTTAAAATAATTGTTCCTCACAATGTACTGTCTCATCTTTTGCATGAAGTCTCAAAGTTTCAGGATATTGGCATAAAGCTTCCCATCAAAAACTGAAAATCAGCGTAAGACCAACCAAGTAATTCAATTGTACTGTCACGTTTAAAAAATGGGCCATTCGCTGGCAAAAGTCATTTGAATTCTATGTTTAGATTGTTTTTAGTACAGGCCATTCGATGGCGACAGTCTATTTAGTTGTATTGTCATGTTTGTTCCTGGGCATGTTTTAAAATTCCATTGGTTCTAAATGCTAGCCATCCGTTGGCGACGATTGTTCCTGTTTTTAATTTGTTTAAAACACTGGACTTTCCTCGGCATGTTGAATTCTTTGGTTAAGTAATGCACCGAGTAACAACTAGGGAAGCAAACGGCAAAGGAATGCAAGAAAGTGCTAATTGTGCAAACAATTCTTAACTATGTAGTGCTAAATGAGATTTAGTTATCAACTAACTAAGAATTGAGAACAATGCTACAAAGGAATTTAAATAGTACTATATTCTCCCTGACAAAATGTCCCTCTCATTGTCTCGGCATAGTTCAGTTATGGGGGACGCGACTTTGCCGAGGCAGCGAGAAGGCATTAGCAATGTGGAAGGTTGGCGTCGCCGAAGGGGAGGAGGGAGGGTTAAAACTAGCTTTGACCTAGTGCCGTGCACTTTGTCGAAGAAGACGCTGTTTTAATGGATTTCCTAGCATTTATACCTTCGAAAGGGTCCCCTGGGGTTTCTCTGGATGCACGCATTGGTTAGGGTGTGTTTTGGCGCTTAAACTCAGCCTCGATGTCATGTTTCGCTGGAATTTTATCAATGAGAATACGCCCATTTTTTAAAGGAATATATAGGTTCATCGGTCATTTGAAAAGCAAAAAGTTTTCAGATTTTGTTCTCCGACACCCTGGGACTCTTCAACAATGGCTTTTACTTCAATAGCCTTCAAAAGAATAATCAAAGGAATAATTTTCTCACGAAGAATACACAGAAAGGTCACATATATATGTGACGATAGCGTAACTGTCTGCCAAATTGTACGTGAGGGTGACTATATATTGCTATGGAAAAGAAGTGTGAACAACACAAACGAGTCAAAAAATAAAAATGGAGGGAAAAAACAAACCAGCCAGGCCGGACCAGGAATCCGTCCGGAGACAGATTATAGGGTGTGATTAGAAGACCCTTCTGGTTCGACCCGACCGGGTGGGGAGAATGGCAGGTATTCTAAACAATTTAACCAAAAGAATGTAACACGGAACAGGAAAGGCCAGCGCTTAAATAAATGAAAATAAAAATAGAAACGAACATTGCCATCGAATGGCCGGTAAACAATTTCAACCCAAGAATTTAAAATGCCCAAGAATGGCCAGTGTTTTAAACAAATTAAAAAGGTACTTTCTCTTTTGGAGAAGATTTTACTCAATCTCTGTCGCATAAAGGATTGAATTCTAGTCATTGTGCTTCAAAGCTTGGCTAAATTAATCCCTAAAACATTACTTTATGACAATCAAGACTAATTCAAGGACCTTTCCTCCAAATTCAAGGACTTTTCAAGGAAAATTTGCAATCGAAAGACTTTTCAAGGACCTAGTTCAAAAATCATGGCAAAAAATAGACTGATTGACTTACTATCATTGCATGAAATGTGGCTGGGCAGTATGAATGGCAAAAATTAATAAAACATCATTTTATTACAAATAAATCCAACAAAAAAGTGGAATGATCTAAATCAAAGCAAAATTGAATTAATTACAATGCAAATACGTCCTGCATGCTTCAGGGGTAGTCAGGAGCTGAAAGAAAAAGGAAACAGCTAAGACAATAACAACATGTGTATTAAGTTAAAGAATTAAAATGACGAGAATCATGAACACACACATAGCCTCTCTGGCCCTCTCTCAAAGGCGTAGACCACACATCGATTTAAAAATATTCAGATAATTCTGTGCTGTMACAATGGATATGTGATTAAGTTTTTAATAATTTGGTTGATATTATTCATTCCGTAGATAGTTTCAAATCTAGAATAGGGGGAAACGTAAAAAAAACACCTAAGCATTTTTCCTTTCAAAAGTTTGCAAACGTTAAATCAGCTTACCTTCAGTGACTAAACGCCTTAWCAATCCAKSCTTCAGCTCACAAAATCATGTCTATTGCCGTAACCCTTCAAATAGACGACTTTTAGCTTATTTGTGCTAGCATTTCTCCTATAAAGCAAAAACTTAGCCTCACCGCCTTCGGCCATATTTGTCCGCCATATTGACACGGGGTACATAGTTCCCAGTCCCCAGAGAGCCATAGTAAATAAGAAGGTCACGTGACAAGGCTATGTGCTAGACAAAATGGAAAGTTCTCAAAACTGCCGGTGGTTTGCAAGAAAAAAGCCGATAGATTTCATAGAAACTAAAGTGCTTGACATACCTCTCAAAGTATCAGGAAAAGATCTCTAGTTTCAACTAGTCCCTCATTCAAGAAAGCTTGCTTTAACTGCATATGGGCATAAATTTAAGTCTTATAAGCTTAAACTCAAGTAAAAATCCACGTAAGTTATGAACTTTTCTGCTCCATTTTTCGAGTTTTTGAAATGAGCAAGAGTCTTCAATAAGATCTTTGCCTTTAAAATAATTGTTCCTCACAATGTACTGTCTCATCTTTTGCATGAAGTCTCAAAGTTTCAGGATATTGGCATAAAGCTTCCCATCAAAAACTGAAAATCAGC